TTTTATTAATAAAATTAAATTAAATTAATATTTTAAAAAATAATATTTTACCGTTTCAAAAATATAAGATTTTTCATGATCGCCATAACCACTCCCTGACAATTGATAAATACCCCGACTGGACAAAACGTCTTGTGTATGCCTTTTGAGCCACAATCTAGGAAGTAGGAACTCGGTTTTCGGGAAAACTATTTTTCTTCTTTGTCGTCTTCCAGTTTTCGTTTAATCGTCTTCCCTTCTCCCTCCGCCACCACGCTCCTCCTCCTCCTCAGTATAGAAAATGAAGAAAGAAGATCAGACCGTCAAGAATCGCCATATGTACGCCGAGAAGAGGTGGCTTCTTGCCTTGGGAATCGCCGCTATGATCGGCGGTGCGTTTCTCATCTCCAGCGTAGTGCGCATCTCCGACTACTCCTTCCTGCTGGCCAGCTCGAGGGGCGGTCCGGCGGTGGAATACTCACCGACGCCGATTCAGCTCCAAGCGATCATCCACTACGCCACGTCGCGGATAGTCCCGCAGCAAAAGCTAGGGGAGATCTCCGTGACGTTTGAGGTTCTCAAGAACCGTTCTCCCTGCAACTTCCTCGTGTTCGGGCTCGGTCACGACTCGCTGATGTGGACCGCCTTGAATCCACATGGCACCACGCTATTCCTCGAGGAGGATCCGAAGTGGATTCAGACGGTAACCAAAGACGTCCCAAACCTCCGCGCTCACGCCGTGCAGTACCGGACGAAACTCTCCCAGGCGGACGATCTCCTCAAGCATTATCGCTCCGAACCGGACTGCTCGCCGGAGAAAGCCTACCTTCGTGGGAACACCAAATGCAGGCTGGCGTTAACGGGACTCCCCGATAAGGTTTATGACACCGAATGGGACTTGATAATGATCGACGCGCCGAGGGGATATTTCGCGGAGGCGCCGGGGAGGATGGGAGCAATTTTCTCTGCCGCGGTGATGGCGAGGAACAGAAAGGGACCGGGTGTAACACATGTGTTTTTGCACGATGTGGATAGGAGGGTTGAGAAGCTTTACGCGGAGGAGTTTCTATGTAAAAAGTACAAGGCGAACAGTTCCGGCATATTATGGCATTTCGAGATACCTCCGGCAGCTAACGTGAGCCAAGCAGACGGTGTTGGGTTTTGCTAAAATGTGCGAGTGAGTTCATTAATAGAATAGAAAAATGATATTGGAATAATTTTTGTCGTGCCCCTTTTTTTTTTTTTTTTTTTTTATGGATTTACATGTTATTTAAATTTAAATGAGTGATTCGATTTAGTCATTTTAAATTTGTAATATTCAATATATATTTATTTGATGGTATATAAAAATTATATAAAAATAATAAAATTTTATTTTATTATTATTTTAATAATATATTATTTAAAAAGTTTATTTTAAAATATAAAATACAAGTAAAAGTATTTTTTTAATAAATTTATATAAAAAAATATAAAAATAAACATTAATTTTAAAATTTATGTCAATTGATATGTAAATTAATTTAATTAAATAATTAATAAATTAAATATTTAAAAAAAAATTTAATTTATATTTTTAAAATATAAACTAAAATTTTTTATTTTATAATTTAATATCATTTGAATTACACAATAATTAGATATTATTAGTTTTTATGTGAGGAGACTCCGATTTTTAATGAGTTCCATTAATGTCTATTGTAGTGCATTTGTGAGGTGAGTTTTTTCAATACAGCTAAACATTTTTTTCCTTCTTAATTAGGTGCTTTTAAGATATTAATCTTTGACATTTTACTTGGTGAATTGGGGTACGTGGCGAGAGTGGGTTGGCTTTTGTTTTGTTCCGATAAAATTCCGGTGGGAAACCGCTATGAGTTTCTAAGACCATTGGTCTTGGTGGCCGGCATATTTTCTCTCTTTTTCCAGAAGAACGAGAATAAGTCTGTACCCACCACCCCAGATAGTCTTCCATGGGACTCTTGGTTTGAAAATTGAAGTTACGAATTTCTTTTCACAGATAGATGCACATTACTAATATTTATTTTGAAAATTCTTTTTCAACTTTATTTGTGCAACGTAATATGGGAGGACTAAATACGACATCTAGTCACAATTTTTACTATAAATATTAAATATTGTCTTATTTTTTATTTTGATGAAAAATTATCTAAACATTTTCTATATGGTAAGTCTAATATAATATTGCTTTTAATCATTTTTTTTTTTTTATGGTTGTGACACAACGGAAAACAATCTCTTTCATCTTTTATCTTATTCCACTTATATGTCATGCGACTTAAATTTGTATATTTTATTTTCAACGAAAAAAAATTACCACTAAACTATTTAGATTATTGGTTACTTTTAATCACTTTCATTAAATTTTTAACATAAATTCTAATAATTTGAATTTTAAAAAACTCATGAGAATCCTTAAAATGGGAAAAAACTTACCAAATCCCAAATTTTTTCCTTTTTATCAACTGCAACTCCAAATCTTTATTTTATTTTTAGCTTTTAATTAACACATTTTTGCATTTCTAAAAGCTATAAAGATATACAAAAAAAGGTCTTGAAATCTTATGAGATTTCGATGGGTTTCATAAAATTTCAATTAAGATTTGATTAGAGATTTAAGAAAATAATGAACGCTAAAATTAAAGTTAGTGATTTCGGAAAAACTAAAGATTATTTCAAATCTAAATAAAAAAAATTAAGATAATATTTAATATTTTATCTAAAGGTGGGGAATATATTTACCCATGGGACTCATATGGTAGGGAAGGTTAGAAATTCTGCGTTGCAATGTAAGATGCTTCTTTTTTTTTTTTTTTTTTGGGGGTTAAAAGTTATGCGATTTTTGATAAAAGTAAACAAATGGTATCGTCTTTTTAAAAGAAAAGGAGTATTACATAATTCTGCTGGAAAGTCAAAGTATAGCCACTTCCATGATTCACCTCATATTATGCCCGTGAAGGTTGGTATAAAGTGGTACTACACCTCATGAATTCAAAGGGCATGGATATAGTTATTGGCAAAAAAAAAAAAAATTAAGGCCACTAATATTTCTCTTAAATGATCTTTGTTTTAAGCTCTTGTTTGATTATCGTACTCTAAAGCAATTTTTGGGAACACTCTTACAATGAAAATGCCTTAATTAGCTTGGCCGAGGAAATTTTTTTGGGTATAAATTTTTACGTAAAATATAGTTGGCTATCATCAAATAACTTCAGAAATTGCTTCTAAGATATGGTAATATCAATGAAATTTTGGTGGCCGAAAGATAAAACAATAGTTCATGTATATTTTTAGTGTTCCAATTAAGAAGGTATCTGATATATAGCAGTTGAAATTAATCGTATTTTATTGTTACTAATTGTTGTAATTAATAAGCATACTAATTGGTGTACATTTCCTAACCCTTCAGTGGGTACTCATTAAAAAATTAATATTTGATAATTTAGAATTAGACGTGAAAACACTTAAATTTGTTGCCATTCATACTGCATTCATCTATTCCTGTTTCCAAACATACCTCAAATCTTGTTTTGCACCTTCTCCATCTTCTTTGATGTTGATTCTGAGACTAAAATCAAATACGAGAAATTTGAAACTCCAGATCTAATGCCATAGGGCTCCAAATCAAAACATAATCGTTTACTTTGAAGATCCATGTTTTAGGATCCTCTAGTTCACATTTTAGTTCAATCCAATAATAAATAAGATGAACACATAGTTTCAACTATTTATGCCAAGTAGTCTTGTAGTAATTTTAGGAATTATAGAGGAGAATAAACAAAAAGATGTAGAGGGGAGCGGAGCCCTCACGGTTGCTCCCTTCCTTCCTTTATCATCATTTTTTTCTTCCTTTTCTTCACTTTTTGATTATCCATCTCTCTTCTTTTTCTATGGTTTTGTTTTATTCTTTTTAGGTTTCCTCGCAGGGGTTCTTGTCTCCCCCAAAAACTAGCTTCTATGGGAGTTCATCGATCCTTTCAAGTGTGGTTTGTGGTCTGTGTGAGTTTTGTCATTATTTTATAACTTCTCCGATGATGAAAGTTCAAAATAGGAGAGGTGGTTGGTGAGTGTTGTGCTGTTTTAGAATACTTTTAGCAGTGGAATATCTCAATAGTTAATTTTTCATCTTTTAGTTCTAATAAATTATTCTAAGTTGCAGCTTCATTGTCAAATCAAAAATTGAGTTCGGCTATTAGAATGATCCATTATCATATGCATAACCAAAATATTTTACACTTTGAAGGTTAGTTTTTGTAGTTATTCGGGTGCACCATTTCATATGATTTGGCTCATAATTCCCACATTTTTCTATAATTGATGAATAAATTTATTTTTAATAATTATAAAAATTGTTATACAAAACACTCCTAACAATGCCATTATAATGATGCTCTATTAATGATTTAAGATAATATTGATGCTCTCAAAACAAAGTTTTGTTATATTCTTTCAATTGGTTTAGGAATACCAAATAATCATGCTCAAACAACTACTACCATAGATAATTTTTTTTTTAAAAAAAGTACTCTTATTATATTTAAATTACTTTATTTATGATTTGATTACGATAAGATCGATTAATCTTATCTTATAATAAAAACAGCAAGGATGCATTTGGCCAAAAGCAAAAGAAAAAAAAAAAGGAGAACTTCATTGATTTCTCACTAGAAGTTGAGGGTGAAAATGCAAATCATTATTGCCTATCAAGACAAATACGACGTAGTATCAAATGATCTTCTTACCATGAGACAAGTAACCTCCTTAGATGGCTGAGCATGTGTTACGTCTAGGGATGTCAACAGGTCCCGCAGGATTAGGGAGTCCCTCTTCGTTCTCGTTCCTGCGAATAGCGGGGACGGGGATCCCCGAGGGGATTTTTGGCAGAGGGCAGATTTTGCCCCTTGTCTCCGTTCCCCGCGGGGATTCCCATTCCCCACCAATTAATATTAAATTATAATTTTTTTATCTTTTACATATAATTAATTAATATTCAATTATAATAAATAAAATTTTAAAAATTCAAATACAATTAACTAAAATTTTTAAATATAAAATCAAATATAAATTGTCCAAATATAAATAAAAATCAATTCAATATAAATAATAAAACCAACAATTAACAAATTTGTTCCAAATATAAACAAAGATTAATTTAAGCTAAACTAAAACATAAGCAAAAATTAAACCAACAAGGGGAAAGTGAAAATAAAAATTGAGAAATGAATTAAGGTTAAGGTTAAATGTAAGTAAGGGAATGAATTGGGTTAATTTTTATGGATTGAGTTAGGTTGGATTAGGTTGGGTTAGGTAAAATTGAGTTAAGTTTAATTTTGATTGAATTGAGTTTGTGTTTGTATTTGGGTTTGGATTTGGGTTTGAGTATGAAAGATGAATTAAATTTAAAATAAAATTAATTTATATTTATTTTAAATTTTGCGATGATGGGGATCCCGCGGGGCCCCACGGAGCAGGGAAAATTCCCTGTGAAATTTCACGGGAGGAAAATACTCTCCATCCCTACTCTGCAAAAAGAAATATTCCTCTCTACCCTGTCCCCGTGGTGGGATCCCCGCGGAGCCCCGCAGGGATCCGGAGAAATTGCCATCCCTAATTCCATCCAGCATGCAAAACACAAAATCAGGGCGGTGGAGGGCAAGCGCCACCCTCTCCTGGCCAAAATCCAATCCGGTGGCGTCGAGGAGGACGTGCCATGAGTTCCGGTGTGCTTCGGATATCCAATGAGCAGAATATCTTATCCCGTTCATATTGATTGAATACGAAAAAGTCCTTTCGGGGTGTGCTTACATTTCCTTCGGAAGTATTGGCTCAGTTGGGAGCCCTTAATCCTCAGATCCAACCAAGTCTCCGGCGCCGGAATAACCCTTGATTCTTTCTGAGCTGCCAATTCCCTTATGCAATCAGATTCTTCTCTGATGATGGTCATGTAGTAATTTCCCCTGAAGAAAGGATGGCTCTCTCCAATCATCTTCATGGCTTCCTTGTAACTGGAAACGAAAATGACCAAGTACTCATCATTGCTTAACCCGCAGTTCTTCAGAGCTCTGTTCCTGGCTTGAATTTCCGGGATGGAAATGAAGTTCCCGGAAAGGAAGTCTTCTTGGTGAGAATGTCCAATAGTCTTGATGGCTCCGACTGGATTCTATCCAGATTATCAAGCGGTCCACCACCAGAGGAGATGGAACCGCTCCCCGTAGACCTACCTTTCTTCTCCGCAATGGAGGCTTCTTCATTGATGCAGAGACTATCAAGGTTGATTTACTGTTCATGTTCTTCAACAAGGCCATTGAAGTACTGTGGATATTTGGTGAAGATGTACTGCTCTACGTATTGCATCTCCGTTTGGGCTATGGGACCAGACCATCTCAGGTCAAGACCATGGAGGGTTGATATTGCTTCAGCCAACAAATGAGCAGGGATCACTGTGTGCGCCTTCTCTTTTTTCCGAGGAAAACTTCACTAATCATCATTCTAAGAAGCACAAGAAGGAAATACGATTGTTGACACAAAAATTAATTAGCTCAAAGATTATATATATGCTGGGAGAGCTCGGGTTGCAGGGAAATACTCTGATCTAAAGAGTCCCAGCTATAGGAGAATAAGTATTTGACTCGAGCTAATTTGCGCATCATCAGAAGGAAAAGGGCAAAAGGACTTACCTTAACAACCATGCTGCTTGGTCTGACATTTTCAGTTGGGGATGTGGGCATTGAAGCTAAAGAAGATTGGTCTAATTCACCCTCTTTTATCTCCATCATGAACCAAGAAACCCCAATATCAGGATATCTTAAATATATACAAAAAAGAAAAAAGAAAAGAAAAAATCAAGCAAAAAAACCTTTGATTCTTCATGTGCAGTTGGCTTCTCTTGTATGTTCCTTGCCATGATTTCTCCTCAATATGTGAACTGCAAGCCTGCAAGAAGAACAGACTACAAGAAAGAGAGAGCAAAGAAGATGAACAAAGCCAGAGACATTGAAGAGATTAGTAAGGGGTTAGCTCACGTCAGTATGTCAAAAGAAGACCATTTTTTTAAGTTAGAATTTGGACTGAAATCAATATTTAAAGAAAGAGTAATGATAGAGGGGACGAAAACGGGGGACGAAATGAGAGACGGTAGGTGATGTAAAAGGGTCAAATTAATAATTGCACCTGTCGTCCCCCATTTCATCCCCCGTTTTCGTCTCCTCCATCATTACTCTTAAAGAAAGGGTAACCTGGGACAAGGGAGAAACGTCTATAGATGATGCTATCAATGTCAAGATGCTGCTTTAAAGGAAATATTTAAGGTGCTTCAATTACATCATTGAACTTGAGAGCTGAACCACTAGACAAATTAAATAAAGCCAACGACATAGGACGAACGTTATTTGTTTCGGAAAGCACCATTCAATTATTGGTTCCGAATCTAATTAATGCATATGGGCGTTTTATATTAATGACTCTAATTATGATTCATGACATAATCAAAACACAATTGGTCGATGTTGTGATTTACAAATACCTGTAAAACCAGTCAGGCCAAAGCTCTGAAAACCTGGTTGAGACCACAGAAATATTGGGGTTTTTATGATTTAGAAGGATTTCTCAATATTAATCACATTACGTGCGGAGAGGAAGAGGGACCATTTCATATAAATTTTACACTTGTAATATTGTTTAAAGTTTAAACAGCATCTTCGCAAAATTGCCAACTACTAAACTACCTCCATAACAAGATCATATGTCAAAGCAACAAATGAAACCTACCAAAATTTTTATCGTGTCATGTAGAGAAGGGAAATTTGATGGGAAAACGTTGTTTCCTAGCTAGTTTCAGAATGATCAGATTAAGAAATAGCACATCTCAAATTGAGAAGATAGAAACTTGAAGCAATGTTTTCTTCTTTGCCTACAATAGAGCCTTGGGTTAATCAAAGAACATAAACAAGACTGGTTAAGGACGAGAAAGAGGGTTGCAGAAGCACTAAACAGCAATTGTGCCGCCATGGACAACATTCTATACAAAACATGAATGAGAATCGCACTACAAAAAGTATTTCATTCGATCATCTCTCCTCATAGCATTGTATACAGCTTGAACCTGGAAAGAAAAAACCAAGTTTCTTGAGAGCAATTCCCACCCTCCTTTCTTGCAAGCATTTTTTGTATGTCTAAAGCTCGGACAGTTAAAATATGGAAATGTGATACTCCACTCTGTGTGTGTGTGAGAGAGATAGAGAGAGAGACCTGTTCACTGGAAACAACTTGAACAGGACCTATGTTGACTGATACATATTTGCCCCTTGAAGAAACTTTCTGCCTAACACGACCCTGTTAGAAGGAAAATTCATCACAAATTTGTTTCTGTTCTAGATTTGTGGGTGGATTTATACAACTTCATGATACAAGTTAGTTATTAATGAGGAAGGGGAATGGAAGAAGAAGGTAGAGGACCATTTTGCTTTTCAACATTGATTTTCATTACAATAAAAATTAATGGTGTACAATCAATTCCTTTGAGAATCTTAATCTAATTCTTTTATTATGCTTATTACTTGCATGATTGATCAATTTAAAAGCAGAATCCTAGTTGATTCAAATCCCAAAGAAAAAAAATAGTGACAACAGATAATCAAACCGTGAACTGGAATGCTAATGTGACTGTGACCTCAAAATTTGAATAGTGATGCATCACCATGAAAAGATATTGATCAATAAATTAATTTCGGGACCAATAATGGAACTTTATGTACCTCAGGTATTGGCTGTTGAATCACAGACTCAACGGCAACAACCATAGCTTGAACAAAATCATCACCACCAGTTCCAATTGCTGTAAATCCTCTAACTGTTGGGTAGGAGTTGACCTGGCAAGTCAAAACATAATCGTATGGTCAGACAACATCTGTTGAGAAATCAAACAAAATGACAAGTAAACGTTCATATTGCACCAATACAATAATAGCCATATCACAATTTGTTTATTAAAATTATTGAAGAAATTCCATCAAAATCTATTCTGAACAAAACTTTGGAGCCTTAAGTATGATAAGCAGCATTGATTCTTGGTTTGGTTGTATCACTGTATCCACTATTGTAAAAATAAATTGGGCTGATAAACTCAGTTTGGTCTCATTTAGAAGCAACAAAGGACAATATGAAATGTTTGCTAAAAACAAATGTAGCCAGGCATAAGAAGGGAGTGGAGTATAGGGAACTGGGGTGGGAAAGGATGAAATACCTTCTGATCCAGAGCAAGCCATTCATTAGTAGAATCATCTGTCACAGTACCTCCAATAACCACATTTGTGGTTTGTCCAACCCTGCCTTCCGTCTTTGACACCTCTAGATTCAATATCAACAAGTTAAAATCAAGAAATCCATCAAAATTTCTACAAAATGTAGAATCAACGAAGGTAAAAAAAATTTTCCAATGAATAAAGCAATCATCAAGTTCCATTCATCCTTCATTCAGAAAAAAAAGAAGAAGAAGTAATAATACATTCCATTGAAGCATCCAAGGTCCAAAAGACCAACCTTTTTTCACTTCTAAATAATCAATGATCTTATTCCTCATGACTAAAGAAAAAATGTTTATCATGGTCTGATAAGTACCAAAAAGTAAAGCTCCAGTATTGATTCTTCAGTTTGGTCCATTGTCCACCTATAGTTGCTTGCTTCAATGCTGTAGATTACAACAGAACTGGATATTTTTGTATATAATTGCTCATAAATCGAGCTGCAAAAGCTCCTGGACTGATTCTTCAGCTTGTTCCATTACCAACTTATAGCTACCCCTTACAGTCTAGATTACAACATAACAAAAGATTTCTGTATATAATTGCTCATAATTCGAGCTATAAGTTACTTGGTGTGCAAATCTATAAACTTGAACATTGCCAAGTAAACTGATGAATTACTCTTTTTCTTTGCATTTCCTCACATAGAATCCTACAGAATATATAATTTTAAAAGACCTCCATTTCTATCCACAAAAGCTATCATCTTGGATTCTGTATCGTCCTGAGTTATTAGTTACTTACCAAATTATCAGGCCCCCTCTCCATAACTAAATTCTGAATTTTTTATGTCTTAATACTCTAAAAAGCATTATTAAAAAAAAAAAAAAAAGCAGATAATCTCTGGAAGTTGAATTCTTTTCGATTCTCGTCAAGAACAGATAATGGTAACTGAATTCAGGAAAAGAAGAATTGAAACAAAAACCAATTCAAAGATAGAAGCAAGAGAAAGACCTGAAATTGCTTTGAGTACGGCCTCTTGAGGCGGACCTTGATCGTTGTCATCCTCTGGGGAGGACGCCGGAGTTTCATTGTGGGAGCAATTAAGCCTAGTTCTCTTGGAAACGTGAACATCCCGAGCCCTAACTTTCCCATAACATCCACAGTTCAACTTTTTAGGGGAAGAGAATCCATGGCTCTTGAATGAAAGAGAACTGAGAATCCCATTTCGATGAAGAGGTCTCCACGCCTCCGTCACGAACGCCGACGGGAATACCGTTCTGCACGCCATTCCCTAACCTTTTCCGATTCGTTTCTGTTCCGTGAGCTTTCTGGGATTCTAAGTATTTATATTTTCCGTTTATTTGGTGCCGTCAATTGAAATGAAGAGATTTTTTGTCAGTCCCATCTGAACGGTGATAAGCGCGCCCTTTCTTTTCCTTCATGGGTGGCAATATCATTTTTTTTTAATCGTAATATCAATTCCATATGAAGAAATTTTTTTTAAAAAAAATTCATAATTATATAATGATATTATAAATTTATATTATAATATATTATTATATAATTAATTTTTTATTTAAAATTTTATTTATGATGTTATATACTCGTCTAATATATATTATATTTTATTTATTACAATTTTATATAATATTATATTTATAATATTATTATTTTTCATAAAAGTGCCATTGAAATATTAATTTTTTATTCGGTATATAATTTAGAGATTAGTTTTTATTAGTCAAATATTTAAAAAAGTAGGAAAAGATATTTTAAAAGTATATTATTTGATTAAAGTATTATAAAAAATATCAAAATAATTTTATTCATCCTTTAAAAATAAGTTATTTTAGTAATTTTTAATGAAAATTGAATATAACGATGTAGTACTTTAGAGGCATTTTTTTTAAAAAAAATTAGAGGTTTTGTTAATAAAGATTTTGCTTTACAATTTAAATTTCAAATAAGTGGCTTTTTATTATGAAAACTAGAATAATAAACAAAAATAACATAATTTAATTGAGAAGTGGATGCTCACATAAGATATAAGTTAATATCACTAAGTAGTTTTTGTTATCTTTTCTATTACATTTTTATTTATTGAATCTCTTTACACCATGAATTCATACTATAAAATAAAAATTTGACAATCTCACAATTTTCATTATTATAAACATTGGGATAAAACGTTTTAAAGTAAATTGAATAAAACAAGTGAAAAAATCTCATATATATTACCAGAAAAAAAAATCTTTATTCCAAAAGTTAAAAATTAATCAAACTTTATTCTTTTTGAGAGAATTACGAAAGTTAAGATTTGATCAACGCAATTTTTAAAAATTATCATAAATTTTTCAAAGGTTTTTTTTTTTTAATTTCTAAAATATTAAAAGCTGAAACTCTAAATTTATTATTTGTGAAGTAAATTTTTAACTAAAAAAGTTTAAAGTTAATAATTGTTATATATATATATATTTTGTATAAATACATGATTTACCAGTATCACTTAAAAAATTACTGTAATTAATTTTTATCTCTAATCAAAACTCTTTTGAGATTGGATTTAGGAATCTGAAGGGAGAAAAATGTAAAAAAAAAAATTAAAAAATTGTATTTAACTGCCATTAGCATTTTTCTTTGGTTTAAATACCATTTTGATCCCTCAACTTTTCACTTTGATACTAAAATTGTCCCTCAACTTTAAAAAGTACCAAAATAATCTCAAACTTTCATTTTTGGTATCAAAATAATCCTTCCGTTAGTTAAATGGACAAGAAGCACATTAAATGCCACAAAATCACTGGATTTTTTTAATTTTAATGACGTGTAGATTCCAAGTAAGAAAATTTAACATTTTTTATTATTGTTTTATAATTTTTCAAACCTTAAAAAAAAAAAACACTTCATCTTCTTTCTCCTTTCCTCCTTCGACAGTTTGCCTCCTCATTCTCCATCTACCTTCCTCCTTCCTTTTCTTGCTTATCCTTCTTCTTTCTTCTTCTTATTCGTTTTCTCTCTTTTATCCCTTTTTCTTCCTCTCCAAAATAAACCCAGATCTGGGTTTTTCTCAAACCTAGATCTGGGTTTTTCTCAAACCTAGATCTAGGTTTGTCTCAAACCCACCCTTTCGCCCTAAAATACCCCCTCAATCACCTAGCAAAATCCGTAAAAATCACCAAGACATGAGGGAAGAGGTGACATACGACGAGGTGCTGCGGATGATGGCAGAAAAGTAGGATGGCTAGTCAACTCTATCGAGAGGAGATTGCCAGATACCGAGCCAGATATTGATTGCATCAGCATGTCCTCTACCTCTGAAGAAGAAGCTGTTTTTGTTTAGAAAGAAGAGGGAGCCATCAAAAGATAGATATTTCTAGCCACCTGATCTGGAGATATTATTCTCAATGGCTCACTGAAAACAAACTTGTTCGATTAACTAATTACCAGCCCCGAAATTGAAATTCCTTAAGGTTTTTAATCTACTGATTGACTCTTTCTAGGATAAGGTCTCAACAAGAATTAATGTGTATATTTACATTGATTTTTTTGTTTTTTTGTGTGTATATTAGTATGGAAGAAGCTTTGATGTTATATAACATTACTATTAATGGCCAATTTATGTATGTATTTCGGTTCTGTTGATTTATGGGATGAACTTTTTAGTATATGATAAGATTAAAACAAACCAAGATCTTAGTTGGGGAAAAACCCAGATTTGGGTTTGAGAAAAACCCAAATCTAGGTTTGATTTAGAGAGGAAGAATAAAGGAGAAGAGAGAGAAAAAGAATAAGAAGAAGAAAGAAGAAGGATGAGCAAGAAAAGGAAGGAGGAAGGTTGATAAAGAATGAGTAGGCAAAACTGTCAAAGGAGGAAAGAGGAAGAAGATGAAGTTTCTTTTTTTTTTTTTCCTTTAGGCAAAACTGATTTGCATTACTTTTTTTTATTATCACCAACTTCTTTATATCGTTAATTTATGTGATAAAACCCAAATCTGAGTTTGAGAGAGGAAGAAGCAGGGCAGAGAGAAAGGGAGAAAGAATAAGAAGAAGAAATAAAAAGGATGAGCATGGAGGAGGAAATGGGGAAGAAGATGAAGTGGATCTTGGTTTGTAGAGGTAAGGGAAAAGGAAAGATAAAGGAGAGAGAAAGTGAAAGAGGAAGAAAAAATGATGTGAATGAAAAAAAATATATATCATTATTTTTAAATTAAATAAAAATGTCAACTCATACAAAAGATGGTTAACTATACTTTGTTTTTTTCCATGTCATTAGTTAAGAAAAAAAAGATTGATTTGCTGGTAAGTTAATGTGCCACTTGTCCATTTAACTAATGGAAGGACTTTTTTGGTGTCGAAAATGAAAATTGAGGGATAATTTTGGTACTTCTTAAAGTTAAAGGATAATTTTGGTATTAAAATGAAAAGTTGAGGGACCAAAATGGTATTTAAACCTTTTTCTTTCAGCTCGAGACTGGAAATAAGAAAAGCGGGAGTTTACAAATCATTCTTTACACAATCATGATTTCGTTAATCATTAACGATAATCTTGTGGAAATTAAACAAGGAATCTCTGTTGGTCTAATCGGGAGGGCTCCGGTTTTTTTAAGTAAAATTTTGAATTTAACTTTTATTAACAGAAAAATAAACGTGGGAGCGCTTCTTTGGGTATTTATTTAAATTAACTTAGATTTAAAGTAATTATTGGATAATAAGAGGGTAATTATAAAAAAAAAAAAAAAGAAGTAAACGTTGAACATTCCGTGAACAAGATCGCTTACGGTGGTTCCTGGACCACCTGATTTTTGCCATTCCGTTGATTCGCCACTGTCCCACCCTCAAATTGAATTTTTCCGGCGACATCTTCTGAAACCCTAACCAAAACCCTGACAAACCCTAGACTTCGAATCAGAAATTAATCTGCATCCTTTCTCGCCGTTAATTCTGAGTTAGACCTCTGACTCTTCCGGCGAATATGTATGTATCGGATAAAGCAGGAGAGGATGTGGAGCGGACGGCATTCCGGAAAGCAGAGAAGAAGTACAAGCTCTACTACGACGACAGTTTCAAATCCTCCAAAAAGTAAATGATTTTTTCAGTTCTAATCCGATCTGTTGCAGTTCGATGCAGAAACAATTAATTTAACTTTTCTCTGCTTGTTGCAGGAAGAAGCAACCCAAACCAGTTGATTTATCAGAGGTTTTGGATTTTAAATCCATTTTAGATAATTACAATCAGGGTGGTGAGCTTCCAGTAGGAGTTTCAGCTCTTCAGTGTGGGTTTGATCGTCCTGTTTTCAGCTTGGAAAATCGTCCTGGTACCTGTTTCTTCTTTTTGCACTAAATTAAGATGCAGTTAAATTAAATATTGTTTTGAATGAGATAGAAATTTATGATGAAGCCTTTTTTCATCCATTTTGGTATTTACAATGCTGGGATTGTTGGGTTTTGCTTTTGCAATGTAGGGTTTTATTTCATTCCTGGAGCTTTGAGTGTTGAGGAACAATGTCAATGGATAAGGGAGAGTTTGACAAGCTTTCCACAGCCTCCCAACAGAACAAATCATAATGCTTTTTATGGGCCAGTGCATGACCTGTTTATGGCTGCCAAGGAAGGTAAAGTACTCATTGAGGAGGAAACCTCACCTGGATTTTTGGGGGCTGAATCTACTTCTTCTGTCAGCAATGGTGACGCTCATAAATGGAAGTTTTACGAGGAAGAGGATGCAAAATCAATAGGAAAGGCAAGCAAATCAATTCCTGCCTCTGTTTTGCTGCGGAAGCTAAGGTGGAGTACCCTTGGCTTGCAATTTGACTGGTCCAAGGTAATTGCTAATTTAATCTTCACTCTTTTCCTATTATATAGCCCATCTTCAGATGTATCAAAAAAATAGGGAAAAAGAGTAGCATTTTTTGTTACTGTTCTAGTGTTATTAGAATGATGGTTGTTGATCAAACACTTGTTTGGATGAAGGATTTTAAGCTGGGATTTTGTAAGAAATTTTTTATTTTTTATTTTTTGGTCAAGGAGGGAGAGAGATTATAGTTCGGTTAGAGGAAAATGAGGATTAGAAGAAGGCATTTCAAAAAATACCCTTTCAGTGGTATTTTACGATGACACATTTTTGTTATACTACCAAAACAGTTTTACATGAAATGTCATTTAGAAAGAGAATTTGAAATTCCTTTGTTCATATATTTTTCATTGAAAGCCTTCATTTAGAATCCTTCAACTAAACACAACCCATGGTTTCAGTTTGTTCAGAAGTTCATTAATTCCACTCCAACCAATCACTCCAGAGAATATTAATAGGGCAAGAAATATATCATTGTGACCATTCTAACAACCTAAACAACCTCAAAATATCTCCTCATAAGCGTTTAACTATTACTTCTTTTTTAATAAATGAAAAGTCTTACTGATTTTGAAATGAACCTCTAAATCAACATATGTTCATGCTGTAGAGGAACTATGACGTGTCTCTCCCTCATAACAAGATACCTGATGCACTCTGTCGACTAGCTAAAAGAATGGCGGCCCCTGCAATGCCTATGGGAGAAGAGTTCCAGCCAGAAGCTGCTATTGTGAATTATTTTGGTTTAGGTACTTGTGAGACATAATAATTTGCTTCCTGAAAATATCATCCGTTGTTTGTTCTGTGGTATAATGTTACAAAGTGAACATGGGTGATAGTGAAAGTAACTGGTTTAAGTTTTAAGTTGTTTTGTTTGTATTTTTTTTTTTCCTTTTGCCAATAACACCTGTCGATCATGTATGATTCTAAAATTTTATTTTGGCCAAATTTTTGTGCATGGAATGAAATAATTTGAGTCACGTCTTTTCAACCATAGCTTTCTGGAAGTCCTTTCACATCATTTTCTTGTGTTTCTTCTTTAGGTGATACACTTGGTGGGCACCTTGATGACATGGAAGCAGATTGGAGTAAACCTATAGTAAGCATGAGGTATTTCTCCCTTGTTATTTACCTTCTATCAGATGAAAGAGAGAGGTGTGGGAACAGCGTAGCTGATGTGGAAGTCCTGTTCCTCTCTCTCTTGGTGTTTTGATTGGGAATACTGCTGGCTACTCACTTTTAGTGTTTTCTCCTCAGTTTGGGCTGCAAGGCTATTTTCCTTCTTGGAGGAAGGACAAGGCAGGACCAGCCATTAGCAATGTTCCTCCGAAGTGGTGATATTGTGCTTATGGCTGGAGAAGCTAGGGAATGCTTTCATGGTTAGTCTTTATTTTCTGCCAGAGTTTCTTTATATGGATTATGTCAAATGTGATTCTGAATTTTTACCTTTTTTGAATTGAATGAGATGGTAAAGCTGGTCTAGCCATGACATAGTTATTCTATAATCACTGGAAAAGTTCATTCATTTTGAGCAAAGATAAGAAACAAACTGGTTACAGCTGTCCTGGCTGCTGCATTGAGTGACATTCTACATGTCTTTCATCCCAAATAGAGTATACTGGCATAGGCTAAAGCCAAATGCCCCATTAACAGATTTATTTTTGTGTGTTAAATTTAACCAGAAAGTAATTGTTAAGGTTTATACCTGTAAATGAAATTGTTGAGTGTGCAATTACTTTTCACATTTTAATAGTACGTGCATATAGAACCTTTTGACCTTCAGGAACTTATTCCAGAAAAAGTGCCTTGATAAAATTATCTTGGGCAAGTAAAATAAGAGCATCCGGTTACTGGACAACTAATTAAGTTGGTATTGATGTCATTAGGTTGTTCTCTCTACAGGCATCTTTCTACTTATGATAAACCTCTCTAAATTGTTTATTCATTTTTACAGGTGTGCCTCGTATCTTCACAGACAAAGAACATGCTGAAATCACCCCTCTTGAAGAGCAGTTTTCGCACGGAGATGATCTTTGTTTCTTAGAATATATCAGAACTTCAAGGATCAACGTCAATATCAGACAAGTTTTTTGAGTTCCTACATTTTCCATCCACACTCCAATATTTGATTCAACGGCTCACATGTCCTCATAGAGATGAAGCAGGAAAGACAATGGAAAATCGTCGGTGACATTTGAAGAAAATTTTGTAGGAAATTGGAACATCCAAAATGGACAAGGAAACTGAAAGTAATGTGAATGGAAGGAGAAAAGATGCCGCAGCCTTAGTCATTGCTACATTTTTTGCATGTCCTAAAAGTATATTTGTCCTTTCTCATTTGTGTCCCATCTAAGCTTGAACACCCTTCATCCCTCCTTCCCATCTTTGCTATTTGACTTTTCGCATCCAGGCGAGTTGTAACTTGTAAACCTTGACATTCTTCTGTTTCACACTCTTAATAAATTGACAACACGCTTAACAGCAAAATTGGTTCTTTTTCTGACAATCAACGGAAAATGTATTAAAATTCGTCTGGCATTGTTTACTTCTGATATATATAGCAATGTCTGGTAATGCCCTGCAACCTCTGGGGCATGTGACAATGTCTCGATTCTAAAAGGCAGAAATGCTAATTTTAGTTGTTTTTTCCACTACTTTTCAACACACAATATGTAATTAGTTCACCTGTCAATAATTTAAAATTTAAATGTATTACTTTTCAACACAAATATGCAATGAGTTTACCTTTTAAAAATTTAAAATTTATATAATACAACTTGTTACATGGGTCGATAACAGGGAAATATATACCATACAAATTCATCATATCGTGACTAGGGGTGGTAAGGCCCCCACAATAGGGACGAAACAGGAGTAGTGGCATTTTCTTCTC